GATTTAGAACCAAAAGATAAAGAAGAATTTGTTCGTATGCAATTATATGACACAAGTTATCAATATTTTGGCTCGTTAACATGGCAATGGCCTGAATTACATAAAATACCACGTAACATTCAATCTATTGATGACAATATTGCTTTTCACTCTTAAATAAATACATTCCGTTTCTCTTTTTTTTTTTTGTGCAATTTAATATTGTATTTCAATATATATAAAATTTCAACCTTAAAATAAAAAAAAAAAGAATTTATTCTTGCAGATGATTTGGTTAATTGCTGTTTCAATTAGTTGTTGTTGTTGTTCATTAATAATTCTTCGTTTATTATGTCGAAAACGAATTCATATTGATGGAAAAACAGTTTTAATTACTGGCGCTTCATCAGGTCTTGGTGAAGCATTAGCAAGACATCTTTTTAATAAACAATGTCAATTAATTCTTTTAGCAAGACGTATAGATCGTCTTGAAAATTTACGTCAAGAACTTTCTAATTTACATCCAACATATCCAATACCAAAAGTAATACAAATTGATTTATCTAATTATGAAAAAATAACATCATCAACAATTTTAATGAATATACTTGAACATGAATCAATTGATTGTTTAATTAATAATGCTGGTATAAGTCAACGTTCATCTGTACTTGATACATCAATTGATATTGTTAATGATATATTTCGTTTAAATTATTTTTCACTTGTTACATTAACAAAATTAATTTTAACAAACATAATTGAAAAAAAACAAAAAAATTCAACTATTGTTAATATATCAAGTTTACAAGGTCTTATTGCTGTACCTGATCGTAGTTCATATTCAGCATCTAAACATGCTGTACAAGCATTTAGTGATTCATTAAGAATGGAACTTAAAGAACAATATGCCGAACAAAATATAAATGTTTGTGTAATTAGTCCATCATATATTCGAACGGAACTTGGTCAACAAGCATTAAATCGAATGAATAATAAAAATGAAAAATTAATTGAAGATAATAAATCATCAGCATATGAACCTGATTATGTTGCTGAACGAATTATTAAAGCAATTGAATATAGAGAAAACGATGTTATTATTGCACCATTTCAACAATATTTAGCAATATGGTTAAGAAGATTATGGCCAGAGGGATTTTTTAAAATCATGGTCGCAAGAAATAAACGATTAAAAACTAAAAAATAAAGTGATTTTATTGGTTTGTTTTTTTTTCCAAGACTTCATACATTCATTTTTTTTTTCATTTAAATGTATTTTATATACATGATTGAATAAACCATTCTCCCCTTCTTCCTTCATAAAATAATAGCCCACTGGGCTTCTAACTTGTTTTACAAATCAAATGCTTAGAGGTAGGCTTTTATTACGATAGGTATTGTTTGATTTATTTTTCAGCACAGAGGTGCTCAAGATTCGATAAAGTGGAGTTTTCAAATTGTTTGAGAACTTTCGTTATTGATTATGTTATTAAATAATTTGAGTGATGTACTGATAACACTACATTTCTTATTCACACATACTTCTATCATCAACATGTTGTAGATCCTAATATAGATATGTTAAAGGACTTGAGCAAAGAAAACTTCGATGAAATATGTGCTCTATCACACCATATTATTCTAAAAGCTTATATATCCATGGTAAAAAAAAAGATTAAAAATTGGATTAAAAACTAGTAATAATGGTACTATTATAATCTAATTTTAATAAAATTTTTTAGCCTTAAAAGACAAATTTCATCGGTTTTAATCTATTATTAAGATTGAATCAATTGTAGTTAATAATAAAAAATCAATTTCCATTGATTAAAGTATTTTAACGGACTGAAATAGATTAAAAAGGATTAAATCAAATGAGATCCGTCTTTTAACACTGAAAAATCTCAGGCCATTCATAAACACTAATACTTGCACGTATACATACATTCACAACTAATTAAGAATAACCAATGATATTCGATGAAAACTATCAATATAAAAAAAACCAACGCTTTCGTCTTTTCTATTGATAGCCCTCATATGCATGACATGTTGCAGCAAAAACATATACGACAGGAAAAAAAGATTGTATCCTTATTTATGTTTGTATTCTGAGTTTTCTCATTAACTTACATACCTACAATAATAGAAATTAATGAACCATGAAATCATGCGGAGTTTCTGCACGCAACACGGTTACATGTTTCTCTTCTACTTTCCGTTATTTTACCAGATACATATCAGGTAAAAATTGTACTAGAATAAGCAAGAGAAAATACATTACTTAAAAGAATAACATAAGTTGCCGATTCATTTTGTTTACAATCAAAATACGTCAAGGTAATATAAACAGCATAAAAAAACATTCATGGCATCCACTACTGAAGAACTACAGAAATATGTCGGGCAAAGTTTTAAGACAGTGAAACAAGAATTAGAAAGTCAAGGTAATAGAAGGCTTTGGTTGTGCTCGAATCATGAAGTCTGATTTAACATTCATCGTTCTTTCTTCTTTTAGGCTATAGAGTTCATGAAATTCGTTTAGGTCCCTGTACAATAGGTGGTAATGTACTAGTGAGACCATGCGTCGTTGGAAAGCCTGAACCTGTACGAGAAAAACGTGCCGTTGTCTCATATCGTTACGAAGACCCAGAAGACAAAGTTACTGACATTCGACGACAAGATTATTGACGTTGGTCTTTCATTTAGAGACTTTTATATGAAAGAAATTTCTAGTTTCAAATAAATCATAGTTAGTTTTTATTTAGTTGTAACACATACAAATCATCAAACTTTATAAGTCGTATATTTTACTTTAGTGTATTTTTTTATTTTTTCAAATAAAATATTTATTAATAGATCGATCATAATGACTAATTCGAATTGTACACTTTCAGTGTTTTATCTAATTTGGAAATATCAAAAAGCTCAAGTGAGGAAGAACTCCGATGGTTTCTATTCTGCTTATCATCACGTCTTACGGATGGAACGTTTAGTTGAGTAAACGTAAGAATCGATCTTTCGTTCATTCTCACTCATCCATTCACACCTATACACGATTTTCGTTTTGGTTCTTGTTCGAAATCAGAAAACATCAAGATAAAATCCAAAATGTTAACAATTAAACAAAAAGAATTAATTGTGTTTTGATTCAGTAAAAAGATAGAAAGCACAAATTCGCTGGATCATTCTGATCTTTAAGTGAACAAGAGAAATTTGAAGAAAGAATTATCTGATAATCGAATCGACTAATAGCCATTTCAAAATAAAAGAAGAATGGTCGTTTTTCGAATAAGTTTTCAACAGAAAGAGCTATTGATCTGCGGTTTTCACCATTAGAAAGAGGTTGCTCATAGTTTTGAGGAGTAGTCGTCAGTGAAATTCACAGAAGAAGCTGAAGTGCTTTGAAAAATATATGGAATTTCAATTATAAGAGGTGTGTCAGATTCTCCTACTCAAGATTTTTGACTCTTACAGTTGAAAAATCAAGTCTATTTCACAAGATAGGTTGTCTGAATTTATAGACTTTATATGATAAAAGAAGACTATTGAGTCCTTTAAGAAATGATATCATTTTGAACAAAATAGAAATTTACTATATGAGATATTTGCGCCAATACTGAGGTCACATTTCACTGATTTTTCTCTTGCTCTCTTCTATATAAGCTTGTGTTGTGTATGAAGTAGATACACTCTGCATATGTGAAGTAGCTGAATAAACATCATTACCGATGATGGCGGTAGACTATTCCAATCTGGTTTGTCGTTACAATATTCAACTATCAATTTTTTAATTTTGTGAACTTCAAAGTAAATAAATCGAATTTTTTTTATCTCATCGTCTGCTATCTATTCTCTTATGTACTAGATCACTCATTTTAACGCTAAATGAAAGCCTTGATTTTAATGCATAAATGTATATACATGATCTTTGAAGAGTGCTCCAGTCGATAATGGAAAAAGCTTAAAGTAACATATTTTGTTAACATAAAGACCAAAGTTGCTAAAGAGCTTTTCAACGTGTTTTGTTTCAAAATCTTTCTAATCTTTGAAAAAATTTCAATAAACTTCCACGTGATTTTTTTGCATTGAATAGTTTAATGTATCTAACCAAGGAAAAAAGCACTGAAGTCTGCGATACTCTATCACAATGATATATTAAATTTAAAAATACTATTGCACTTTTGCATTATTGGGTGGATGTACTTCGTTCTTACCACCGTCACTCACGCTTGTATCTGCATCTACACCCACATTTCATAAAAGAAAAAACGTATGAACTCGGTTCCTTAAAATGATCCCTCACTCAACCACATGCTTTCACAAGAATTATGGAATACAAGGATTTGATTGTTATAGGAAAAGACAACCAATGGCTGCAATCTCAACATAGTTTTCTGGTCTCGAAATTCAACAGATACGAGCATGAATCAATGCAATGAAAAAATATGCTATGGAATACTTTTCTGACACCTTCAGTCAACGAACTCACACATGATCAAAGTTTTGTTCAATCTAATATATAACCAAGACTTTCAAGAATGACTAAATCACCTTTAAAATAGAATTTATGAAATACACTAAATTTCGTTCCTTGATAATTGACAAGCCATCTATTAAACCAAATTCTTATTGCTCAAACATATAATTTACTATATTTAAACCGAGTTCCTCAAAAGACTACGTGTTTTGAATATTCTAGCGTTGATTTCGGTTAAAAAGTTCACTATTTTGATACAGCACACGCACTGATAAGAATCTAGTCGTATCGATCATCTTTCTATATATATTCGTTGATTGAAGACTAGAGTATGTTCTTTGTGTGTCTATGGAATTTTCAGCAACATCTGAAAATAAATGTCTGACATTTGACTCCATCTATTCTTACAAGACAACATGATTGGATTATTCATCTCAGTTGAGTATTTCAACATGATTGTGTAATTTCTATCTGATGCAATAGTTTGTAATCGCCATCAGCAGTTTTTTTAATAAACAATAATCAAAGTATCGCTGAAATGACTGCTGTCGTAGAATATTATCCTTCACCTGGACATATTGGAAATGATCTGTTTTTGAAAGATGATATCAAGGACATTAATGAAGATAGTCAAGCTATTGAACAGATATATTCATATTGGTTTGGTGAAAATATTAATACATGGTCGAAAACGTATCCGTTGAATACAAAACTTTGGTTTAAAGTTCAAGAACAAGTTGATCGAGAGATTAAAGAGAAATTCGAAGGTTTGTTAATCGACGCAGCAAGACCGAATAGTGATCTTTATCAACGTTGGAAAAAGACCGATCGAGGCAAACTGGCTCTTATTATCTTATTGGATCAATTTTCTCGAAATATGTATCGAGGTACAGCGAAAATGTTCGAATTTGATTCTTTGGCACTTTCATTAGCCCTTGAAATCACTGAAGATTGCACACATATTAAATCTTACAGTTTACCTGAACGTCTCTTTATCTATCTTCCATTGGTTCATTCCGAGAACCTCGTTTACACTACCAAAGGTGCTGATCGACTGGAACAGTTGGCATCTGAAGTGACTCAACGTGATGTTCGTCGACGTTATGCAACCAATGCTCGATCAGCACGCGTTCATCAACAAATTATAGAAATGTACGGTCGTTATCCTCATCGAAATCATCTTCTTGGACGACAATCTACCCCGGAAGAAGAAGAATATTTAAAAACAGCACGCAATGGATTTGTACGATCTGTTCAAACAATTCAATGCCCATCATCTTCCATACTGATGCCTCCAGATACTTCTTCGACGTATCCATCTCTAAAAATCCTTGTTCTGCATGGTTTTCATCAGAATTCGAATAGTTTGAAACGTAGTGCGAAAAAACTCTTTCGAGAATTAAAAGGCATTGCCACATTCTATTTTGCTAATGCTCCTTTACCGTATAATCCTACCGGTGAAGTCAAAGAACAGCTTCTCGCTGCTTTTGGTGATGGAAATCTTCCCGAAATAAGTTATCAACGACAATGGTGGAATGCGTCGAAAGATAGTAAAATCTATCATCACTTGGATGTTTCATTACATTATTTGGACAAATTATTTAAGTCCGATGGACCATTCGATGGTGTTTTTGGCTTTGCTGTATGTTTGTCAGTACTTTCATTCGAATCAATATGTGTTTTTTTTCTATTTAGCAAGGAGCAGCTTTAGGTGGAATTCTGTGTGGATTACAACCATTTGGAAATATATCCTTTCATTTTGCGATCCTCATCTCAGGTTTTGCTTCTCGAGCGGAGTGTCATGAACATTTAATGCAACCGAATGCGATTAAAAATATCTCGTCGTTGCATATCTATGGAGTCAATGATGTTTTAATTACAAGCGATCGAACCTTGAAATTAGCAGCGGCATTCGAAAATCCGATCATTGTTTCACATCCAGGTGGACATTTTACGCCGAATACCTGGCCAACTAATAATATCAAACAATTTTTACTCGATCAACAGCAACAACTATTGCATCAGTCTGATGGAATATCGAGCTTTGGTGAAAATCTACCTCAATCTCTGATCACATTTGAAGAGAAACTCAAAGCAACAATCAAATTTCATCAAAAGCGAATTGTGACCTTACTATCCGCAGAACGAAAAGAAAATAAATTGCCTGTCATTCTTGTTGGTTTATCAAAACCCATGGACAAATCAACTCTGGAGACGATTATTGATCATATTAATGATCATTTATTGGATGATGTTATGTTGTTGATCTGGTCAAAACGAACGGGTTTTCACAACACGGAGGATTCATCATCCTTATTTTTTCGACATTGGCTTTTATTGTATCTGAAAAAGTCTTATGAAGTCCTTTCGTGTTATTTACGCATTATCCCTAAATACGGTAGTTGGGCAGATTTGAAGACACTCTATGTCTGTGCTTCCCAAATGGAAGGTGAATACCCAGATCAGAAAGGACTACTAGATCAGTTAAAAAGTGCATGTGTGAAAATGTTTGCTGATCAACTACGACAAGATCATCGAACTATTTTGAAGCAACCAGATGAGTTATCTAATGAGGAGGAAGAACAAATGAATATCGAAAGTCAAGAATGGATTAGCAATTGTGCGAAAGAAGCGCCGAGAATTTCTAATAATCCAAAGAACATGAATACAGGTAAGCTCTTTGTGTAATTTCTTTCCATCACTCTTTTATAATTTAGTAATGGCAAAAGATATAGCTCGATATATGCATCCATTGTCTCCTACAGCTATGAACAATGAACGACAGTTAAAAGCAGAAAAAGGCTATGCTTATTTATTATATAAACGATTGATTTCAGCTGTTTGTCAAGTATTGGAGAAAGCCTCACCAACATTCGTCAATGAACAAGCGAGATCAAGAAATCGAAAAGATCGAGCTTTACGATTAACAAAAGAACAACGAGAAGAATTACTAAACGCTCCACCTTCCACTTACATCACAAACCCTGAGCCAGAACCAGGTTTGTCTGCCTCAAATGATCAATATATCCTCATTTAAGAACGATTATCTTTAGTTGTTCCATGTGCATTGGAAGATCTACAACCACTTTTCGATCATTTAACATCGAATAAATCTGGACCTGGAGACGAAAATCAACCAGTAGTTTTCACCCGCGGTACTATCATGTCTGGTGGACGATTAGATTTATGTAAACAAGTCGTCGGTCCACAGGGTATTCAACCATTACTCAATGCTATGAAGAATAGCGATGTTGTCAATCGATTATTGCTTGGTAAGTCTGATGGATATACTTCAAACATTTCTCTTTCGATTATTCTAGGAAATAATATTGTCGGTCTTCCGGGTGCTCAAGCGATATCGAACTACATTCGTTTTAATCAGGATTCTCATATTGATACGTGGTATATCGCTGGAAATAATTTCGATAGTGAATGTATATCATTGATATGTAATGCATTGGTGAATGATATGAAAGTTAAAGCACTTTGGTTAAAACGAAATCCAATCTTAACTTCGGGTGTTGTTCATATAGCTCAAATGTTACGAACAAATCATTATTTACAAACATTAGATTTACTCAATACTGGACTATTAGATGAAGGTTGTAAAATCTTATTCGATGCATTCAAAGTCAATCGTACATTAAAACATTTGTATTTGGATACTAATGGTTTAACCGTGAAAAGTGGACGAATTATTCGTTTACATTTCGAAGAAAATGATAACCAGTTAGAATCATTGTATTTATCATGCAATGCTTTCGGAGACGGAGGTACTTCTGAAATAGCAGTTGGATTGAAGCATGATCAGCATTTGAAACGATTAGGCTTAGCATCGAACTGCATTGGTCCGGACGGTGTACGAGCTCTAGTTGATGCACTCATTGCTCATCCATCGTTACAACAATTGAATCTTGGCTTTATGAAAGCAACTATTTTACTTGGTGGACTTGATAATGTTATTGGTGATGAAGGTGCTGGTGAAGTAAGTAGATTGATTCGATCGAATGAATATATTCGTTCAATTGATTTGACATTTAATGGTATTTCACAACGAGGTTTGATGAAATTACGAGATGCATTGAGAGAAAATCGAACATTAACAACATTGAAAGTTTTACAATTCGGACAAGTTCATAGTGAAATAACCAAAGAAGAAATTAATATGATGCTGGAAACAAATAAGATTGAATGGGGAAGACAAGTACTGAGCAATATTGATGGTTCATCACTAACAAAAGCTGATTGTTTACAAAAAGGTCAGCAATTGAATGAAGAAATCAATTTTCCCGAACATGTCATGGAGATTATTAGTTATTATCGAACACATTAGACATTTCGTGTGTAACATTGAATAAAGAAAAGTATTGTATGATGCCGAAAAAGATGCCGTTGAAGGATTAGGTCTAGAATGAAAAAAAAACTCCATTCAGAATACTACTGGAAAGCAATTCTATTAGTGTAATCTCTTCCCTACAACTATAATTACTAGTTATAGTTCTAGATAGAAGACCGGTGTGATTTAGAGTTCTCTTGGCTAATCGCTTGAACAATGTATTAGACGAATATCGAATGTATTATGAGGATGATATTACAATTGGACTGAATTTGATTGTACTTCAACAGTAATGTCAATAGTTTCTCCTCTGAATCAAATCCAAAGAAGAAGTTTCTGCTCATCTATGATCTATTCTCTAACAGACTCATCTTAACAATGTTTCATAAGTACATAGTCAGGAATTTTTACCCATTGAACCAGCACGACTGATCATCCAGAAAACAGAAAGGGAGAAAGGAGTGTCGTTTTATCAAAATCTTGTGTCGAAATACGGATATGGGTATCAAAATAAGACCTATACCCTATGTTTCGTGTTGTCACATAACACGATTTCATTTAATCAATAGTTTCAACGATTCATTAAAAATATAATTATGACGTATATCAGCATCTTCTCAAGCAACTGCTTCAAATAGTCAATATTCATCAAATTCATTGACAAAGATTTGATCTGTATCAATAAGCTAGACTAATTTAACATCAATAATCTTTTTTTTTTTTCGTCAATGAGCATCATCACCATCGAATATTTGAAGACGAACAAATTCTTTTTAATAGAGTAATAAGCATCTATAAGAAAAGAAAAAGAAGATTGTACAATTAATATGAAAACAACTCCAGATTACATCATCAATATTGATCATAAAAATAATCTTTTTTTCAATTTCTATAATTCAAAATCAATCGAAGAGAAATCTTATTTGAAGGTCAGATGGTGGGTGTGGATGTGTGGGTGGCTGTGGGCAGGGGTATGGGTGTAAGAGTCTGGGTCTGAATCGGAGTGAAGAAAAGAGAACTATATGAACATCCTCATCCACATCCACACCCTCAATGACGTGAAGAAACAGAGAATATTCGTTAGCGCTCGTGTCATGAAAGCAGATGATGCTGCTGTGCAACGATTGATATAAAGACATTTCTTTCTTATGTCAAAACGAGAGGTATACGAATTCTTTTGCATTCAGTCTGTTAGACTGGTCCATAAAACGACACGAGGTTTCATGTTCGTTTTGCTGCTGTGACACTATCGTTTAGACAACAAGCATTTATTGTGTTGAATACCGTAACTAAGATGTGAAATTTTTGCATCGAATTGTATTAGAAAAGAACTCCCAACGAATAAGTTGAAACTAATCAATTGTGTGTGGATAATCATGGCCAATAGCTCAAGTGCTTGCTACAGTAAAAACTTTACGAATTTTCGGACATTCTCATTCCAATCTTCAGTCAAAATGTCGCTGTTCAACCACTGACAATGGGTTGACAGAGTTCGTCACAAACGCCTGGAAAATTTCATTCCGAACATCCTGTTTTTTGTTACATTTCATTGACTTTTGTTATTGAGCACTCCATTTCGAACACCCTGCCTTGTTTTCTTATGTTTGGAGATCGTAATGGACTATTTCAACCGGAGTTCGTAATGAAAAAGCGAGACGAAAAGTCACTTTCCCGGTTTTTAGGAGTTTTGACATTGCGGATCTCATTAAAATCTAAGGTGTGAGTGTGTGGGTGTAGGCCTTGTTTTAGTGCATCCCAACACACACAATCACAGCCACATCCTTTGAATTTTATGTCACCAAGCAAATTTTACTTCAAAAGGAAAATAAAGTAAATCATGGAAATGCCTTATCAGCTAATTTTTGGAGCAGTGAAAGAAAAGGCATAGTATGGTTTATTCTCCCTATAAAATCAAAAAAATCAGTAGTTTGACTTGAATTTTTGTACATGTATACTAGAGCTTATGGACTATGATATGGTAAAAATCAAACCATTTTACCTTTTTTATCTTTTGAGATATAAAGAGAACAAAAGAGTTTTACTTGTTTGTCGAATAATTTTCGGTAGCTACTGTACCTGGTTGTTGCTTTAGATTGTTTAAAATTCGTCTGATCAAGTGCGGGTATTAATAAATGAACAACTATTTGATTCTCTATTCCCATATACATTGACACGAGCACGAAATATGTTGCAAAAGAAATGAAAAAAATATCAATCATATAGATGGGAAGGAAGAAAAGCAGTTTTAATATCGTGGTTTTTTACTTGCTTTCACTATTTTCAATTTTATAATAAGAGCTTATTTTAATATCCTAAATAGGTCCAGAAAAGTTTCCATTGTGTTTGAGTAGTTTTCGATTTCGATTCTTTTTGGTTTGCAAAAAAGCGAACCAAATCCCATCTTTACCCCACAATGGCAGGAAGAAATCTTCATGACAGCATCACGTACCACACAGTGCAGCGCGAAAACATCCTTACTCTGTCAATTCTTGAACGTAGGCGATTGTTGCTATTGTAGAATAACATTTCTCAATCGTCAAATAGATTAAAGGTATAGAAAAATTATCCATAATTCAATTATGTCCATTTCTTTGATCAGTTCGTTTGGATTGTCGAGTTCTGAAATGTTTAGACTTATTCGTAACCACACTTTGCACAACCAGACTAGATCATGTTCGAGTTGCAAATGTTCTCGATCTTCTAACATTCACATGTTAAAAACGGAAGAAACAGAAAAATAACCATAAGAGCAGACTGAGTCAAGTGATTTTCAATATTAATGTATTCATCATAAATATCAACGCTATATGGCTGAAACCGACTAACTCTTGTCATCAGAATGTCAAGTTTGCGACTATAAATCGGACCATAAAATGACTTAATTATGTACTCAATTGAATAACAAATCATTCTGTGTCAAGGAGCTTGACTTTAGAAATTGCTAATATATTCTAAAATACAAACCATATAAATACAAGCAATATTGATTCATTCTATCACCAGACGATCAAACATGGGTTCCCATATGAAACTGATCATACTGCTCTTAACTGTGGTATTGATGACAAAATGTTCTGTTTTCAATCGTGGAACAGTCTTAGAAGAACCAACTGATTCGATGATTGATGAATTACAATCAACACAGATGGATGCAATTCTTTTGTGGAACAAGGTCACTCTACAAGCCTGTGCTAATGATTATGATCCTAGCATAGCTCCTGTACCTGATCAAATCGGCCCGGCAGCAACATCGCGAGCATTTGCCATCATCCACGGTGCAATGTATGAATCACTGGCTGCATTCAATCGAGCATTCAAGCCGATGTGGAAATCAAAAGATATTTCCCTACTCGGTAATATTTCTCGAGAATCGGCCGTCGATGCAGCTATCATGGAATCTGCCTATCAGACATTGTCATACTTGTATCCGAAACAACGGCCAATCTTCGATGCTGTTCGCAAATTTCATTGGCAACGAATTGTTAGTGATAATAGAAGACAGGTCAACATCAACAATGGAGTTTTTGTTGGTAAATGGATCGCTTCATTCATACTAAATGATCGAGCAACTGATGGTAGTCTAAAAGGCAAAACCTACACACCAACAATGGAACCAGGCTATCATCAAACTGATCCAACTCATCCAGATCAAGGCTTTCTCGGTGCTAATTGGGGAAGTGTCGAACCTTTCACATTAGACTTTGCATCTCAATATCGTCCAGAAAATTTTATTGGTGATACACCCGAAGCTCGTCTCAACTATTTGAAGTCCGTTGATTATGCACGCGAATTCGATGAGATCAAGAGATTTGGATCGAAAACGAGCACTGTTCGTACACAAGATCAGACAGAGATTGCTATCGCTTGGGCATATGATGGAGCACTGAAAGTAGGCGTTCCTCCACGATTGTACAATCAAGTTGTTCGAGTCATTGCCATTCAACAGAACAATACAATGGAAAAGAATGCACGACTCTTTGCATTGATCAATTATGCTCTAGCCGATGTAGCTATTGCCACATGGGAAGCGAAATATTACTATAACTTCTGGCGTCCTATTCTTGGTGTTCGTCAAGCAATCGAACCTTCTTTGGCTGATCCCAATTGGATACCTTTGGGATCACCGGCTGATGGTGCCGGTACTGATTTCACGCCGCCATTTCCCTCGTTTGTTTCTGGTCATTCAACATTTGGTTCAGCTTGTTTCGAGATGCTTCGTCTCTTCTACAATCGAGATAATATTCGTTTTCGGTTTCAATCTGATGAATACAATGGAAAGACAATTGATTCAAATACCGGACGTGTACGACCAGAAAAAACACGAACATATCGCTCGTTCACTGAAGCAGAAACAGAGAATTATCTTAGTCGAATTTATTTAGGTGTTCATTGGAGAAGCGATCAAGAACATGGGCTCATTCTCGGACGAAAAGTGGCGAAACATGTCTTCAACAAAATGACTTTACCTTGATTTCTTCTTTGTGAACTGTCATTTTTTTTTAGCTAATATTTTATTCTTGAAACAAGATTAAAGAATCGATCTTCAGACGAAATTTAATTGATGCAAGTGTGTGAGCATGAAACTCTTTGCTATGCTTAACAAACTGAGGAAAAGGAACGATTTTATCAAAAACTGTAGAATATGAACCTTGGCCTTTTCTTCACGCACCCCACCATGTCAAAATCTCAAGGCTTATAGAGTGAAACATTTTGATTGATAACAGCAATATATCATGTAGACTATATAAAAAGCTGTAAAGATCATGAAATTTTCACACAACAATATTGTACCTAAGTAAATTAGCAAAGATCACAGTGGAGCACATTTACAGACTATTTGCGGCGAAACAAATTCAAATGAGGTGCGGCTCAATTGAAGATCATTCTTTGCTAAAAAGAAAATTTATACAAATTAAACTTATCACAAGTATAAAGATATTGAAATCCTACCTTGTACTAGCCTCGAACTGGCATTGTGGCTTCACTATCTGACTCTC